TCCCCTGGCTTTTTAAAGGCTTTTTTGTTTGACAGAAACATAACAAGAGTCAACTGGTGATTTTTTTTTTTTTTCTTTTTTCTTGGCGGAACCAGGGATTGAACTCAGGTCCTCGTGCTTGGCAGGGAAGCGCTTATTCTACTGAGCCATCTCCCCAGCCTTCAACTGGTGAATTATTATTACCTCATAATAATTTCTTGAGTTATACTTTACTTATTTTTCTAGTATTTTCTTTTTATTTCTCTAGTATTAATGCCACTGTTTTTATTCAGAGTGTGAAATTTTCTTACAAAGTTTACTCTGTTTGTTTAATGGATAGCATAGGTAAGAGCTGTATCTCTCAGGGAACCCTTTTTCATAGTGAAGTACCATTCTTAGAGGGGAACCTACTTGTGACACAGATACTGCATGTTGAAAAATTGGGGTTTTTCCAGGTGTGGTGGTGCATGCCTGTAATCCCAGCACTCAGGAGCCTGAGGTAGGAGGATTGTTGCAAATTGGAGACCTGTCTGAGCTACAAAGTAATCTCAAGGGGCAGGAGAGATAGTTCAGAGGCCTAAGCATCTACCTGGCAAGCACAAGGACCCGAGTTCAATCCCTGGCCCACATGCCATGCAGTCTCGGCCCCAATGCCCAGGCGCCCTATCACGACCTTGGATATAGGCATGGTGGTGCATGCCTGTAATCCCCAGCACCCGGAGGTTAAGCCAGGAGGATCTCTCAGAGTTTGAGATGAGCCAGGGGGCTACAAAAGTGAGCATAAGACCAGCCTAAACTACATAATGAGACCCTGTATCAAAGAAAAAGTAAGCTCAAGACCAGCTTGAACTGCACCTTGTCTTAAAAAAAACAAAACCTGGGGCTTTAACATGATCTCATCTTTTCTAGGAAGAGTATGGATGCCTTCCAAAACAGGTTGCTGATGCTAAACCTTCAGATATGAAACTGGAGGCTGAACTAACGGCTGAAGACTTCATAGTGGATGTAAGTAGTCAGCCCAATAGACTTAAATATTTAAGATAAAGCCTCCCCTTATAGTAAAAGTAGTATGTGTTCATTGTAAATAGTTGGATAAATACAGAAAGATAAAAGGAAAAAAGAGAATCCGCTGTGGTCTCACAAAACCAACACTACTGAGCAGTTTTAAAATTTTTCCTAGTGTGTTTTGCCAACATTTGTAACATAATTATGATCAGATGATAAAAGAACATTATATATATTGATTTTTTAAAGTTTTGAGTTGGACATGCTGGTGCATGCCTGTAATTCCAGCAGCGTGGGAAGTTAAGACAAAAGGGTAGCAAGCTCAAGCTCAGCCTGGGAAATTTAGCAGTTTAGCAAGATTTTAAAAAAAGATGAGTTGTAACTGAGAGAAAGAAAGAGATGAGGGCTGGTGAGATGGCTCAGTGGTCTAAAGCACCTACTTAGAACAAGCTAAGCTAAGCAAAGCACAGAGACCACGGTTCAATCCCCCAGCACCACATGCCAGCCAGCCCCGCCCCCTGGTGGGCTGAGCTGGCCACACACACATAAAATAAATAAACAAATAAAAATTTAAAAAAATAAACAAATAAATAAATAAAAGAAAACCCAAGTAATAATAATAAATAAAATAACAATGTCCATTTTATTTAAAAAAAAAAAAAAAGAAAGAGATGAGAGAGGGAGGAAAATCAGTGACATATGCTAAGTACTCAAAAGGAAAAGTTAAGATTTGTTTTATTCCTGTTTTCATAGAAGCCACATGTCTTCTTGTATCCTGATAAGAATGCCAATCAGCTTTTTTATGTTTTATTTTATGTAAGAAATTATTTTCAGGGGGCCTGCCAAATCACTCAGCAGATTAAAGGGCCTACAAGCAGGCTCAGGGGCTGGGAGTTTGATCCCCAGGCCTGCCCCAGCCCCCGGGGCATGCTGAAACAGCAATTGAGCCTGGGCCTGGTGGCTCACACCTGTAATCTCAGCTCTTGGGAGGCTGTAAACAGGCGGATCACTATGAGTCTGGTCTAATATTCACACCCTGAATACCCTGTAGACCCTTCCCTAAAATACAAAAAAAAAAAAATTTTTCAGAGTTCTACACCTGAAATCTCAGGAGGATATTTTCCTTGTATTTTTTCCAGAAGCCTCTCCTTCATTAGTTTCTTGACACATCTTGAGCATTGGTGATCTCTGGGTAAGCAGCATTTGCTATAGGATACAGGGAGTGGGCACTACCCTGTGTTTCCCTGGCTGATGCTGAAGTGTGGTGGTACCTCAGATCAAGCTGCAGCTCCATTTCCTTAGAGGAGAGGCCAGGGTTCTCTTCTGTGACCTTCCTGAGTCTCTGAAAGACTTCATTCCCCAGACTTTTTCCTGGGATCCTCTCTTTCTTGCGTGTCTGCCTGTGGCTTTTCATGCTTTTCTGTTTTTGTTTTACTTAGCTCACACTGCCAAGGTTTCAGTTCATACTCAGCTGGCTCTAAGGCAGGATGGCACATGGCAAAGAAGACAACAGTTCATGGCGGCAAAAGCCAGCCTTGGCTTCTCCCTTTTACTTGAAAGGTCTAGCTTGTTGTCGCAGTTACTTTTTACTCATGACTGGAACAAAATACCCAACACCCAAAATTAAGGAAGGAAAGGTTTATTTAGCTCACAGTTTGTGGAGGTTTCAGTTTGTACTTGGCTGGCTTCCAGGCAGCACGGCACAAGGCAGAGAGCAGCAGTTCATGGCAGCGGAAAACAGCAAAGAACTGAAGGGAAGGGCAGCAGCTGTGACTTCTAGCCAGCCTCTCTCACATCCTTATATTATAAATAAGCTACCCTGTGGCTGGGGGTGTAGAACTCACACAATGTCCATGCCCTCCTCTTGTACAGGATGAAGATATTTACAAACTTAAGAGTTCTGGCTTTCTGCTGTGTCACTTAATTGAACTTCTAAATTTCTGAAGTTGACACAATGTATCGGCTACTACAATCCACCCGTTGTCAACTTTGCAACTAGACATACTTCTTTAAACCAGTCTTCAGATACAAAGACATGCTTGCAAACATTTCAGAACTTCAACATTAGAACACAGCTTTAACAGTCCTTATGGGGCCAGCCAGATGGCTCAGCAGGCACCTCTAATCCCAGTGCTGAGGAGGCTGAAAACAGTCACTACAAGTTGAATCTGTGCAGTGAGATCCTGTACTAAATACAAAAAAAAAAAAAATGCTTATGAATCACTATTAAGTCTATCAACATTTTAGTACATATGCACTGTAACATTCTGCCTCTGGCCCCCAAAGACTCATGTACACCCCTTTATGTAAAGGTACTTAGTCTATCTGCAAGAGTTGCCAAAGTCCTAACAGTTTCAGCATTGCTGAAAAATCCAAGTCCCAAGTCTCCTCCAAGACCTAAGGCAAAATCTTAGCTGTAAGCCCCTGTACAAATGAAGTTAACCCCTTCCAACACTCAAAGGCACACAAAAACATTACTATTCCAAAAGGTGAATACAGCAGGATATAAACCAATGGGACCAAAACAAGTCCAAAATCCAGAATGGCAAACATTAAGTCCTGTAGTTCCATGTGGAACATCCAAAACAACCTGTAATGAGTTGTGAGCGCCAAAACCCTTACATGGCTCCACCCCTACAGCACTCCTGCTGGTAGTTCCCTTGCCTTTTCTCTGGGGCTGGCTTTGCTCCCTCCTTGCAGGTTTTCTCAGACAATATAGATGCCTGGCTTTTTCAAACTTCTGGGGTTTCCACCGAATAGGCTTCTCACTCACAACTTTATACACTGCCCTCTCAGGGGCACATTGCCTGGCTTCCCAGGCCTTCTTAAATCTAGATGGAAGCCTTCTTAACCTCAGAACTCCTGCATTCTGCACACTCTTAAAACTAATGCCACATGGATGCTGCCAAAGTCTGCTGCCAGCTGGAGCAGCAACCAGACCGTCTTTTCTCTTGGGTGTAGGGATCAAGTGCCACTGAGCACTCTGACTCTGATTCCATATTCTCTATGCCGGCCCCATTCTGGAATCTGGTGTGGCCACTGCCTCCGTTCTGGAACATGGAGCTCTACAGCTTTCTCCTCAAAGCAAAGTCCCTCACCCTTGTGATTCTGAGGCTAAAAGGGGTGAGAACCTGCCACCTCCTGTGATGCCTTCAGGACATCTTTTCTATTCTCCTGTTCCTCCTGGGCAGTGGAGATCTCAGCTCTGTCTTTGCAGTCCACAGCCTCTCTGGCACTTACTTTCTGGCCAAACTCACATTTAAATCATCCTACTTGACTCTTTGTTCTTGACTCTCAACATACATCTGACTAAAAGCCCCCCAAAATAGCCATGCCATTGCCTTGAGATTTCCTTTGTCAGATTAACTAGTCCACTGTGATTAATCTCAGTCTCAGGCAAAGTCTCTGGATAGGAGCAAAATGCAGGCAAACTTTGCCAAGCCATAACATAAATTATCCACAGTCCAACAACTAATGCTCTCCTTCTTCCCAGCAGAAACCTCCCTAGCCTGGTCTTTACAGGTGGGCTTTCTATCAGCATTCTGGTCTTCTGAGCTCTGACCAGAATCTCTCCTACAGAAGAGCTGAAGGCATCGCAGCTCTTCACTAGTAGGCAACATCTCCAAACCTGTCCTGTCTTTTCTCATAAACCATTCCCAAAAACTTGTAATCCACATTATCAGGTATAGTCACAGCAACAATCCCACTTCTCTGGAACCAAATTCTATCTTAGTTACTTTTTTCTTGTTGCTGGGACAGAATACCTGACACCCAAAATTTAGGAGGGAAAGGTTTATTTAGCTCACAGTTTATGGAGGTTTCAGTCTATACTCAGCTGGCTCCCAGGCTAGTGGCACAGCAGTTCATGCCAGCAGAGAACAGCAAAGAGCAAGAGGGAAGGGCAACAGCTGCACGCCTCTAGCCATCGTCTCTCCCCTCCTTATATTATAAACAAGCTACCCTGGGGCTGGGGGTATAGAACTTATACAGTGTCCATGCCTTCCTCTTGCACAGCATGAGGATGTTTACAGACAGAGAACGCTGGCGCTCTGCTGAGTCACTTAATTAAACTTCTCAGGTTGACACAGTGTGTCACCCACCATGCTTGTCCTCAGTGCATGTCAGTCCTACTCCATCCCTATCAATCCCTCAACTTCCTGTCTTCCTATCTGGTTTCTTTTTCAAAGTGCAGTTCCCAAAGGGATATAGTACTTGAAGAGGCTAGTATAGGAAAACACAGACACACTGCTGGTAGACTTAAAAGAACTACCTTACCACACTCAGACAAACTAATACAGCAAGAATTTTTTTATATCAGATTTATAAGAATCAAATGTTACAAAATTCTTTGTTGATAGGGTATGTGAAAAGAGAAGTGTAAATTGGTACAAGAAACCAAATTAGAAGAGTGTTCCAGAATTTTGGTTGTCAAGCCAGACACAGTGGTGCACACCTGTAATCTCCACACTTGGGAGGCAGGGGCAGGAGGATAGCCCCAAGTTTGAGGCTAGCCTAAACTACATAATAAGTTCAAGGCCAGTCTGGAATACATAGCCAGATTCAGAAAACACAGACATGTAGTCAAGGCCAGTCATGGCTTACACCTGTCATGCCAACTCAGGATGTTGAGGCAGGAAGATCTCTGCAAGTTCAAGGGCAACCTGAGCTACATAGTAAGTACAAACCAACCAGAACAGTGTAGTGAAATCCTGTCTCAAAAAACGTTAATTAGTTACTTTTTTAAAAATGTAGGGCTGGGGAGATAGCTCAGTAGAATAGGAGGTCCTGAGTTCAATCCCCAGTACCACAAAAATTAATAAATCAATAAATAAATAATTGAAGCACTAAGGATGTAACTCAGTGGCACAAGCACCTGCCTGGCACATGCAAGGTTCAATTCCCAATGCCCACCAAAAGGAAAAAAAAAATGGATGGCTGAAAACAGGAGGATCACTACAAGTCCAAGCCACGTAGTGAGACCCTGTACCAAATACACTGGGGAAAAAAAAAAAAAAGAAGAAGAAAAATTTAATTGATAAATTAGCTTTACTCTAGGAATTTGTCCCAAGGAGATAAATCATTTTTGGGCAGACTATAAACTGTCCTCTCAGTTGAAGTTTTGGCATGGCTGTCTTCCTCTCTGCTCCAGTTTCCATCACTGTCCTGAGCAGCTTCCTGGCCACATGGAGCAAGTTCTTTGAGGTCCACATTGTCATCCTCAGTGACCTTACCCACTGCCCCTCAGCCAGCGCTCCAGCTTGTTGCAACTTGGACAGTTCCACCATTTGAAACTGCTCTCTAACAACACTAATTTAGACGTCTTGTTTTTGGTCCACAAACTAGTCTCCTCTTAATTTTCTTGTTCCTAGCTGATCAGAGCTCCTGTTTTCTTCTCCTACTTTATGTAGTCATTAAGTTGCTTGGGCCAGGCTCAAACTGAGATCCTCCTGCTGCAGCTTACAGAGTGCTGGGATTACAGGCATGTACACCATGCCTGACTGTCAAAATCTGAAACTTTTCGAGTGTTAATAAAACATTCAAGTAAATTGTTGACTTTTGGAGCATTTTGAATTTTGATTTTTTTTCCCCCCTGGAACCAGTTGAACCCAGAACCTTGCACTTGCCAGGCAAGCGCTTATTCTACTGAGCCATCTCCCCAGCCCCTAATTTGGACATTTTTAGATTAGGAATGCTTGTAATATGTGGTAAAGTCTGTGCAGATGTTCCAAAATCTGAAAAAAACAGATTTGTAAGTTATAGGCAAGCACCCCTATAGTTGACAAGCCTCTTAAATTTAAAGAAATTAGTATTGAATACAGTAAAGAATTCAGCCCCTCAGTTGCAGTAGCCACTTATTAAGTGGTCAAAATCAGCAAAGAGGGGCCGGGGAGATGGCTCAGTAGAATAAGCACTGGCCTGGCAAGTGCAAGGGCCTGCGTTCAATCCCCGGTTCCACAAAAAAATCAACAAAGATTGTACACTTGTAATCCCCACACTCAGAAGGCTGAAACAGGATGATCACTGTGAATTTGAGGCCAGCCTGGGTTACATAGTGAGTTCAGGGCCAGCCTGAACTGTATAGTGAGACCCTGGCTCCCAAATCCAAGCAAACAAGAACAAGAAACGTGTATGTTAGCTGGCACAGTGGCACGTGCTTGTAATTCCAGACACTTGGAAGGCTGAGGCAGTTGGATCACAAGTGTGAAGCCAACCTGAGCAACCACCTGAAACTATCACAGAATAAAAAGTAGAAGGGCTGGCCAGATCGCTCAGTGGATTAAAGTGCCTTCTTTAGCAGATGCAGGGGCTGGAGGTTTGATCCCCCGGACTTTGGTGCTGGTCTGGCCCCCAAGGCATGCTGAGATGGAGATTGAGACTGGGCATGGTGGGATGTGCCTGTAATTCCAGAGCTTGGGAGGCTAAAAACAGCAGGATCACATGTTCAATCTGTGTAGTGAGACCCTGTAGACCCTGTACTAAATACATTAAAAAAAAAAAAAAGTGGTAGAACACTTCAAGGTCAAACTTCATCTCCAGTGATGTTGAAGTAAAAAGTAAACACACAGTCTGTATCCCACAGTAGGTATTGACTTTCTACTCTACTTATATTGAACACACAAATGCATTCTATCCTTGCCCCAGATTTCTAAATAAAATTCCTGCAGTTGGTCATGTGTGACAATTATTTTTATTCCGCCATGTTGCTGCTACTTATTAGTGATCTTATGTAATCTCAGAGGGTTCTGTTTCATTTCTATTTTATTTATGAATGTGCGTATGTGAAAATAGGGATTGAACCAGGGGCACTCTACCACTGAACCACATCTGTAACTCCTTTTATTTTTTATTTGAAACAGCATCCCGCTAAGTTGCCCAGGCAGGACTTGAACTTGTAATCCTTCTGCCTAACTTCCCACAGTGCTGGGATTACAAGTTTAGACCACTGCACCCAGCTAACACTGTTTTTTTGTGGTGCCCTTACAGCCCCAATTTCCATTCTTGTTTTGTGATTACTTATTTATTGCTTTTATTAAGGTTGTCAACATGGATTATGGAATGGGAGACAAGAATCCAATTGATCATGTTCGATTTTATTGTAAGAGTGACCCTTACACAGCAATCATGATAACTAAAAATCAGGTAATCACTTAGGTAAAATAAATACATTACAGTAGTTTATATTTGGCAGGTCTTTATAGTAAATTTACTTTTTATTTTCAGTTAGGCTGTAAAGTATATGCAGATTTTTAAAGGGATGTATCTTAAACAGTCTATGTAGGGGCCAAGAATGTAGCTCAGTGGCACAAGCATTTGCCTGACAAGTGCAAGTTCCTGAGTTTGGTTCCCAATACCAAAAAAAAAAAAAAAAAAAAAAAGTATATGTAGATTAGACCATTTTAGCCAGTTTTACCTGTCTGGTAAACAGTGAAAGTATGCTGTTCAGAGATTAGGTTATAAATGTGGCAGGAGGTGGCTGCTATATGGTTGAACTTATGTAAGGTACAGTGCTAACTTGCTTGTCTTGTGTGCAGAAGTCTGTGGTCTATATGTAATTATGGGGGCCACACAGATAGCTCAGCAGTCTAAGCACCTGCCTGGCAAGTGCAAGGACTGAGTTCAATACCCAGCACCACATGCTGTGCCAGCCCACCTCTAAGCTGCAGACTGAGACCCTATACAAAATATATGTAATTATGTAATACAAACCTTTACTGTTCTACTAATTGGCATAAAATGGGGCATTTTGCAATGTGACATTATCTTGATTTTTTTTTTTTTTCCTTTTTGGACTATAATTGGGATAAAATAGCAAAACAATGTCTGCTTGCAAGCATTAGAAATGGTACTCGGGAGCCTAGGGAACAGCTAATACTTCTCTGATGTGTGAATTCAAAGTGACAGCAGAATATTTTCTTTTTTTAAAAAAAGGTCTCACAGTTTCTGCCAGAGAGATTTGCGGAACAGCTAATTCGAGTGTATTGTAAGAAGCTGGATGAAAAGAGTTTGTATGCTGCAAAACAACACTTTGTTCATTGGTGCGCATTCAACGACTTCACAAAGCCACAGGTGGGTGTTATAATCACACTTTGCATGCTTTTGATTTTTAAAGAAAAAGCAATAGAGAAATTATTATTTAAATTGTAGCTATGGGGCTAGTGATGTAGCTCATTGTAGAGTGC